TATCCGTTGGATAACACTCTAAGTTCAAGAATTTTTGATAGATTTGCATCTGAAAGTGCTATACTTAAGTTTGGATAGATATCAAAATGTACTGGACCATGGGAAAGACTGGTTTCTATTGCTCCCATGAGTGAAGCTTTCCAATCAGTACATCTTCCGTCACGGAGAGTACATTGAAGGCTTGTATTTTGACCTAGAAGGGTCAAAGGTTTAAAGGCAATCTGAACAAGTCCTATGTGGACATACTTGTATTGCTCAAGGAAAGGATACAGATCCTGAAAATGAAGAAGGTGAATTACCTCATCATTATTCTGGACAGGCATAGCATGTTCAAAGGTTTTAATTATGCATTTGCTGGAGAAATCGAGTTTACCTATCTTGTAGATGGTATTGGGTTTTACTTTCGGAATTGTCCATTTATCAAGGGCTTCCTTCACCTCTTGATAGGCTACTAGTTCTCTGGCTTCTGATGAAGAAGCTTCTGTATTGGCCACTGTTTGGACTACAGTAGAGGCTGTATCTGTTGTAGGTACGGTAGACATATGGGTGTATGGTGACCATATATGTATAATTAATTTAAAATAAATTAAAACTATAATTACAAATAAACATGGCTCTGATACCAATAATGGTGCTTACACAGGTTTAAGCTAGCACGTCTGTCAACGACTTACGACAAAAGACCTAACCGCAATACTCTGCTAACGGTCCAACTCTACACGACTTGGGTGACGTCCCACTAACCTTAACACTGTACTAACCATCATTAAGCACTAACCCAAGAATATTAAGTATTATAGTTTTATTTTATTTTAGACTAATTATTCCATATATGGTCTCATAACTTACTCTGCTGGAGGAGGTGGAGGCCTACCGGCCGTGATAAGCAAACAAATTTGTTCCTGGATTTGTAGTTGTGTTTGATCAATTAGCCTATTAACTTCTTCTAACTGTTGTAAACCCCAAGGGTCATTAGGCTAGATTGATAAAAAATTTCGAAAAATATTATTTTTTGATTTATATGATATGTTAATATATCATTCAATATAATAAGTACATATTCAGACATGCATAATAAAAACAAAAGAGTACTTCCAAATAATACTTAATCAATACGGCACACTTTATTAAATACTTGAAGCTTTAGATTACAGGAGCAAACCTGAGAGAATAGAGAGAGAGAATACAAACGTTTTAAAACTGAAAAACTAAAATTTCGTTCAACCTCAACAAGGGTGAGGATGCCCTTTATATAGCAAATAAAATATTACAAGGGATATATCTGCGAGACAGGTGGCGTGTCCTGAATGGCTTGGAGTCGTTCATCCTTATCTCCGTTGGATTCCCTTATCTATAAATGTCGGCAGGGTGGACAGCTGGATTGCTTTAATAATTAGAGCAGACAAAGCATCTTCCTTTCGTAAAAGTGGCCGAAAGCGAATTTGTCAGTTTGTGATGCTGGAATCATATCTGGATAAGTGGAAAAGAGAGATTATTCGGCTTTTCCTTTTCCTTTCTTGTCATTTTCCTGACTAAGTTTGTCGGCAATTAATCCTGTAAGAGAATCCCAAAAATCACCAAGGTTGGGATCATCATCTGGTTCTTGAGCTTCTCCGGCAAGGACGTTGAACTCATTATCGTCGGCATATGAGTTAGGTTGCCCTTCTTCTTCATGACTGGCGCCTGACTTCATGCTGATGTCATCATGGCTGAATGATTGGAGGAATTGCTCCTTCATGTAATCCATACTTTTAATTACCAATTTTGATTCTGAGAGGGTTGGAAACTTTTGCCTTAGTACATTTTGAATTTGGACAAATGGATTAGTCTGGACTGGAGCTGCGGGAATGAGCTTAGGAGTAGCATCCCAACAAGCCTTCATATGAGCTTTAATCTTCTGAAGTAATTCTTGATGAGGTTTAGGATCATCCATTTTATTCCACCATTTATAAAAGAATACTCTTTTTCAACGGGGAATATTATTTTGGAAATCAGTCTGGAAATCCCATTTCCATATCCACGGAATACCAAAACGGATAACAAAATGAGTAGTAGATTTGGAAATGGAAATATCTTTATTGCCCGGAAGATGGCTGTTCGCAACTTGCCATTCGCTGAAAGCATTATGAATGTCTTCAGGAAAGGCATCATTTTGAATACCATGACTATCCCACCAAACGAGAAACCAGTTGGGGATATCGTTTTGTAATAAGTCAGGAAGAACCTGGATAAACCAAGAATGGTTCCGAGGGGGATTCATATAACAAAAAGTTTCTTGAAAAGCTGTAATATATTCCCAATAACTGAAACGAACCTCCTTGTTACGGATCTCAAGAGATCGAGTAACGTGAGGATGCATACCCCAAGCATTCATGGGCAAGATTTGCTGGATGGTACATTTACTGTAATTGATTGGACTGGCAGCCCGATGGGGCTCAGCTAAAGTATGCTAGAAATGCATAGAGCCAGTATCGGTTAAGATCTGCTCATACATGTATCGGTAATGATCAAAGCGGGGTAACGCATGTTGGGTCGTAAGATAACGCCGCTTGATTTCCCAAGGATCCTTCATCCATTGAATGTCGGAAGGCTCAATATAGAGAACAGTTTCTTCGTGGATGAAATTCTGGACATAAGGCACAGGTGGTGCAAGGAGGACATCTTTAGCCGTCTGACTAGATTCTACTTTTTTACTGGAAGTGGCACCAAGGCCTAGAAAGTCAGTATTGTAGGGATTTCCCCTACCACGGCCCCTTCTGCTGGAGCCCCGGCCTCTATTCTGCATGAGGACCCTATAAATATTCGCGAGTAAGAAAATCGGGAAGAGAATTTTGCTCGCCTTTGATATATTCAATATCAAAATCGAAGACAGAAAGTTGACCCTGCCAAGAGGCAAAAATCTGTTTTTGGGCCAAATTTTTAACATCTTGTTTGAAAATTTGTTTAGCAGCAGAACAATCAACTCTGATAAGAAAATGTTGATTGAGGAGATCATCCTGAAATTTTAAAACACATTTTTAAATTGCTAAACATTCTTGTTTGATAGTCGGATAATTTTTGGCTGCAGAATGCCAAATACCAGAATGAAACCTGAGAAGTTCTTCGCGTTTAGTGTTTGGATTAAATTGTTTTAAAATGTCACCAAACCCTAAATCAGAAGCATCAGTTTCAACAATTTTCTTCCATTCTGGATGGGGTAAAGAAAGACAAGGTAGAGTTTGAACTCTGGCCTTGATTTTCTTTACAGCGGCAATATGTTCTAGACTCCATGGTGGGGGTTTTTTTCTGAGTCTAGAATACAAAATAGCTGCATCTGTAGCAAGGTTAGGATAGTAATCATGTATATAATTAAGACTACCCAAAAATCTCTATAATTGAATTTTATCCTTGATTTCATCTGGAAATTTGGAAGCGAATTCCATACTGCGATTTATAGGAATAATAGTACCATTATGAATATTATGTTCTAAAAATCTAACAGCTGTCTGAAAAAGTTTCATTTTTGAAGCAAAAACAACTAAACCATTTTTTATGATAACATGCTTAAAAATATTTAGATGTTTCATATGTTGATCAATTGATGAAGAAAATAATAAAACATCATCAATGTAACAAATGGAGAATTCTGTATAAGGATTGAATATGTCATTCATAATATGATGGAATTCTGAGGCTGCATTTTTTAAACCAAATGGCATAACATTCCATTCAAAATTCCCAAAGGGTACTGTAAACGTGGTTTTATACCGATCACTATCAGCGATTTGGACTTGCCAGTATCCTGATTTCATGTCAAATTTGGAAAATACCACTGCATCCTGGAGACGATCTAATAAATCCATTTTATTCAGAACTGGATATCGGATCCACTGCAGGGCTTCATTAAGAGGCTTGTAATTGATAACGAGTCTTGGAACGCCTCGTTCAATTTCTGCGTTCTTATTGACATAAAAAGCAGTACAACTCCAAGGAGACTTACTGGGTCAGATAAGCTTTTTCTGAAGTAGAGTATTGATTTCTGTTTTACAGAGTTCCATATACTCTTTTTTCATTTGACTAGGTCGAGCGCGAGTAGGGATTTTCCGCTCATCACAATCTGGTTCATAAGGTAAAGAAACAAAATGTTTCTTCCTGTTCCAAAAGGCATTCGGAAGTTCACTGCAGATTTCGGTTTGAAATTCTTGCTCAAGTGTTTTAATTTTTTGCTGGAAAGAGGATTGGCTAATCCTTTGTTCTGTAGTAAGAAAACTAATTTCTTTCTATAAGAAATTAATTTGTTTTTCTTTGAAATTTACTAAATCCTTGATTTGATCAAGTTCTTTAGTATATGGTTCGGTAATAAACTCAAAAATAATTGGCTGATTATTAAGGGTTGTATGAATGCCAATGGAATCGACTTTTGTAATTGGCATTAAAAGACATAGGAAAGGTGTACCAAGGATTATGGCTTGGGACATGTTCTTAATAAGAACAAAAGATGTGGGGAGACACAGTCTTTGGTTACAAATTAGAACTTCGGGAAGTTTATACTGGATGTAAAGAGAATTACCACTTGCACTTGTAAGTGATTGGGTGGTTTTATGAAAGTATTTGGTAGGAATAAGTCCTTCATGAATACAGTTCATATCTGCACCACTATCAACAAGAGCAATGGAATCTTTAATGATAAAATCTGGTTTTATCATAAAAGTAATTCGGATATACCATTTCTGAAAAGTGACAGAATTCATAAGCATCAAATAATCTGTTGCTTGAGAAGTTTCTGGAGTGGACTCATCATGAATATTTTTATCTTTCTGGAGTTTTCCATTAATCTTTTTAATTTCATTATTAATGGCAATGTTGGAAGTTTGTAAATGTTTTACTTCAAGTTTTAAAGCATTTACTTCCCTTCTTAAATCCTAGATGGTGGTAGGTTTTTCTTCTGTCTGGTTATTTTGAAGTCTATTGAAAACTTCTTTCATGGTGTAGTGCTGAGGAGGAAGAATTTCTTCCTTCTTCTACTGTTGTAAGCATAACTCCAAAAATTTTAAGTTCATTTCTGGATTGGAAATCTGGTCAGCAAAATTAATAATCTTATGTTCGTCTTCAGTAAGGACATTGATACTGGGTCCTTCAATATCAAGACCATTCATTTCAACTATTGCTTTCCAATAGTTGACTTCATCAGAAATTTGATTGATATTGGTTTTACAATCACAGATTTCTGGATTATCTTCTGAAGCATCTGAAGTGACAGAATAAAGGACATTAAGCTCATCTTCATTGTCAGAAGAAGTATCTGAGTCTGAAAGCATTTGAAGGATTTGATGCTTCAAATTATCATCTAATGACAGTTCATTAAGCTTATGCTGTATTTTTGATTTACAACGATTAGCATAGTGTCCTGTTTGTCCACACTTATAACATTTAACTGTGGCTTTAGATGATTTCTTTCTAGAATATTTGGATTTCCCTTTAGAGGAAGTTGCCTGCTGAGGTTGAGGCTTAGCAGCATATTTATATTTTCTGGATTTTTTGTGGTATGATTTGGATTTTGACATCTTTTTCTGTTTTCGTGATTTGGGATAATGTAAACCATCTCCATAAGCAAATTGTTCACAAAATTCACCAATTTCTTCTCTACCTGTAAGATGTTGTTGCTTCATCTGTTGCTAGAGTTTAAGTTCATTGCAAAGAGCAAGACCTTCATCAGTAATGATTGCAATTAATTGACCATAGGTATATCTATAATATGGTATAGACATCCTATCATGACGGTCTCGTAGTTTTTTCCTGACTCGTTCGGCAAAAAGGGTTGGCAAGCCATCAATAAATTTGGCTTTCCAATGTTCGGAACTAGCATCAGTATGTCGATGAACTTTCATCATGAAAACATCTTTGTACCACCAAAAATGTGATAAAGATGGGCATCGAAGTTTCTGAAGAAGTTCGCGAGTGCGATCTTCAAGGCCAGTAACATTGCCAATAAAATGTTGGATTATGGTGTTTACTAAAGTGTAAACAGCATCTTGTTCAGTACTTTCTGTTCTAGTAACTGGATCTATGCGTTGTTGTGTGGAAGTCAGGATTTCATCATTTTGAGCTTGTGTGAGAATGTTATCCCACCATCCTTTGAGGATGCCAGAGAAACCACTGACTATGAATCGCACAACTTGATGATCTGTATTTTCATTTTGCTTGCAGACAGTTGCAAACATCATCATATGCTGTAAAGTTTCATAAATCTGATAATCAGAAAGACCATCTATGTTCCATTCATAAATGGTACGACTTTGGTAATGTTTCTGATTTTGTAAGAAGTTTTCTTCATACAAAATGTCTACCGGAGTAGGTTGGGAATAATAATATCTAGTCGGGGGTAAATAGGTATGTCTATCAACTTTGTCACTAAACACCCTATTAACCTCACTATTTTCTTCTTCTTGGAAATTAGCTTGAATTTCAGCTATTTGTTGAAAGGTTAGTTCTGGAAAAGATTCTTCCTTAGGAATATGATCTCTGGATAACATGTTGACTTGGGATGGTCCAGGTGGTGTAAGATTAAGATTTTTAATCTTATCTATTAAAGTGTTCATGAATTCGGTATGATTTTTTTAGGTTCCAATTTAAAGTTGGTAACCGTAGGATTAGGGCTTAGCAACACAGACTGGACTGCTGATTGCGGTTTTGGCTGAATTTGGTAATGATCCTTTAAATGGGCAACCATCATGCAAGAGGCTCCGAAAAAGTGCCCGAGTGTTTAAACCCTAATGCATGAGAAATGGCAAGTAAACACCATAATTACATATCTGCCATCATGCAAGAGGGTCCGAATATGTGTCCGAGTGTTGGAATCCTAATGCTCGAGAAATGGCAATTAAACACCATAATTACAAATCTGCCATCATGTAAGAGGGTCTGAATAAGTGTCCGAGTGTTTAAGCCATAATGCATGAGAAATGGCAACTAAACACCATACTTACAAATCTGCCAACATGCAAGAGGATCTGAATAAGTGTCCGACTGCTTAAACCATAACGCGTAAGAATTGGCAAGTAAACACTGTAATTACATATCTGCCATCATGCAAGAGGGTCCGATTAAGTGTCCGAGTGTTTAAGCCATAATGCATGAGAAATGGCAACTAAACACCATAATTACATATCTGTCAACATGCAAGAGGATCTGAATAAGTGTCCAACTGCTTAAACTATAACGCGTAAGAATTGGCAAGTAAACACTGTAATTACATATCTGCCATCATGCAAGGGGTCCGATTAAGTGTACGAGTGTTTAAACCCTAACGCATGAGAAATGGCAAGTAAACACCATAATTACATATCTGCCATCATGCAAGAGGGTCGAATAAGTGTCCGAGTGTTGGAATCCTAATGCTCGAGAAATGGCAATTAAACACCATAATTACATATCTGCCATCACGTAAGACGGTCTGAATAAGTGTCCGAGGGTTTAAACCCTAATGCATGAGAAATGGCACGTAAACACCACAACTACATATCTGCCATCATGCAAGAGGGTCCGAATAAATGTCCGAGTGTTCGAATCCTAATGCTCAAAAATGGCAAGTAAACACCATAATTACATATCTGCCAGCATGCCAGAGGGTCCGAATAAGTGTCCGAGTGTTTGAACCGTAATGCATGAGAAATGGCAAATAAAAACCATAATTACATATCTGCCATCCTGCAAGAGGGTCCGAATAAGTGTCCGAGTGTTTGAATCCGAATGCAAAAGAAATGGAAAGTCGACACCGTAATTACATATCTGCCATCATGCAAGATGGTCTGAATAAGTGTCCGAGTGTTCGAATCCTAATGATCGAGAAATGGTAAGTAAACACCAAAATTGCATATCCGCCATCACGCAAGAGGGTCAAAATAAGTGTCCGAGTGTTTGAATCCTAATGCAAAAGAAATGGAAAGTCGACAACGTAATTACATATCTGCCATCATGCAAGATGGTCTGAATAAGTGTCCGAGTGTTCGAATCGTAATGAGCAAGAAATGCCAAGTAATCACCATAATTACATATCCGCCATCACGCAAGACGGTCCGAATAAATGTCCGAGTGTTTAAACCCTAATGGATGAGAAATGGAAAATAAACAACGTAGTTACATATCTGCCACCATGCAAAAGGGTCCGAATAACTGTCCGAGTGTTTAAATCCTAATCCATGAGAAATGGCAAGTAAACACCATAATTACATATCTGCCATCATGCAAGAGGGTCCGAATAAATGTCCGAGTGTTTGAATCCTAATGCTCAGAAATGGCAAGTAAACACCATAATTACATATCTGCCAGCACGCCAGAGGGTTCGAATAAGTGTCCGAGTGTTTAAACCCTAATGCATTAGAAATGGCAAATAAACACCATAATTACATATCTGGCATCCTGCAAGGGGGTCCGAGTAAGTGTCCGAGTGTTTGAGTCCTAATGCAAAAGAAATGGAAAGTCGACACCATAATTACACATCTGCCATCATGCAAGATGGTATGAATAAGTGTCCGAGTGTTCGAATCCTAATGATCGAGAAATGGCAAGTAAAAACCATAATTACATATCCGCCATCACGCAAGAGGGTCCGAATAACTGTCCAAGTGTTTAAACCCTAATGCATGAGAAATGGCAAATAAACAACGTAGTTACATATCAGCCATGATGCAAGAGGGTCCGAATAACTGTCCGATTTTTTAAACCCTCATGCATGAGAAATGGCAAGTAAACACCATAATTACATATCGGTCATCATGCAAGAGGGTCCGAATAAGTGTCTGAGTGTTGGAATCCTAATGCTCGAGAAATGGCAGTTAAACACCATAATTACATATATGCCGTCATGTAAGAGGGTCTGAATAAGTCTCCTAGTGTTTAAACCATAATGGATGACAAATGGCAAGTAAACACCATAATTACATGTCTGCCATCATGCAAGAGGGTCCGAATAATTGACCGAGTGTTCGAATCCTAATGCTTAGGAAATGTCAAGAAAACACCATAATTACATATCTGCCATCATGCCGGAGGGTCCGAAAAGTGTCCGAGTGTTTAAACCCTAATGCATGAGAAATGGCAAATAAACACCGTAATTACATCTCTGCCATCATGCAAGAGGGTCTGAATAAGTGTCCGAGGGTTTAAACCCTAATGCATGAGAAATGGCAGGTAAAGACCGTAATTACATACCTGCAATCACGCAAGAGGATCTGAATAAGTGACCGAGTTTTCGAATCCTAATGCAAAAGAACTTGAAAATCGACACCATAATTACATATCTGCCATCATGCAAGAGGGTCTGAATAAGTGTCCGAGTGTTCGAATCCTAATGCTCGAGAATTGGCAAGTAAACACCATAATTACATATCCTCCACCATGCCAGACGGTCCGACTAACAGTCTGAGTGTATAAACCCTAATGCATGAGAAATGACAAATAAACACGCCAATTACATATTTGCCATCATGCAAGAGGGTCCGAATAAGTGTCCGAGTGTTTAAACCCTAATGCATGAGAAATGGCAAGTAAACACCATAATTACGTATCTATCATCATGGAAGAGGGTCGAATAGGTGTCCGAGTGTTGGAATCATAATGCTCATGAAATGGAAATTAAACACCATAATCACATATCTGCCATCATGTAAGGGGGTCTAAATAAGTGTCTGAGGGTTTAAAGCCTAATGCATGAGAAATGGCAAGTAAACACCATAATTACATATCTACCATCATTCAAGAGGGTCCCAATAAATGTCCGAGTGTTCGAATCCTAGTGCTCAAAAATGGCAAGTAAACACCATTGTTATGTATCTGCCCGCATCCCAGAGGGTCCGAATAAGTGTCCGAGTGTTTAAACCCTAGTGCATTAGAAATGGCAAATAAACACCATAATTACATATCTGCCATCATGCAAGAGGGTCCGAATAAGTGCCCGAGTGTTTGAATCCTAATAAAAAAGAAATGGAAAGTTGACACCATAATTACATATCTACCATCATGCAAGACGGTTTGAATAAGTGTGCGAGTGTTCGATTCCTAATGATCGAGAAATGGCAAGTATACACCATAATTACATATCCACCGTCACGCAAGAGGGTCCGAATAAGTGTCCGAGTGCTTAAACCCTAATGCATGTGAAATGGCAAATAAACAACGTAGTTACATATCTGTCATCAGGCAAGAGGGTCCGAATAACTGTCCGAGTGTTTAAACCCTAATGCTTGAGAAATGGAAACTAAACACCATAATTACATATCTGCCATCATGCAAGAAGGTCCGAATAAGTGTCCGAGTGTTGGAATCCCAATCCTCAAGAAATGGAAATTAAACACCATAATTACATATCTGCCATCATGTAAGAGGGTCCGAATAAGTGTCCGAGTGTTTAAACCATAATGCATGAGAAATGGCAACTAAACACCGTAATTACATATCTACCAACATGCAAGAGGATCTGAATAAGTGTCCGACAGCTTAAACCCTAATGCATAAGATATGGCAACTAAACACTGTAATAACATATCTGCCATCATGCAAGAGGGTCGAATAAGTGTCTGAGTGTTGGAATCCTAATGCTCGAGAAATGGCAAGTAAACACCATAATTACATATCTGCCATCATGTAAGAGGGTCTGAATAAGTGTCCGAGG